GTGGCTGGCGCCTTAGCCGGTTGAGCTATAGGCGCCGAGCCTGCACCATTTCTTATTGATCTCCACAGAGCTGGCTCCATCCTTGTCATTCGAGTCTCAGCTTAAATATCCCCTGCTCAAAAACCCTTCCTGACCAGCAGATATAAAGTAGCCCCCCAATCACTCCTTTATTCTCACAGCAGCACATATTTGCTTTTTTTTTTTTAATTTTAGACACAGTCTCAATCTGTCACCCTGCATAGAGTGTCATGGGATCATAGTTCTCAGCAACCTCAAACTCTTGGGCTCAAGTGATCCTCTTGCCTCAGCCTTCTGAGTAGCTGGGACTATAGACACCCACCTTAATCACAGCCAATTTTTCTTTCTCTTTTTTTTAACTAGAGGTGAGATCTTGAACTCCTGAGCTCAAGCAATCCACCTGCCTCAGCCTCCCAGAGTGCTAGGATTACAGGCATGAGCTCCTGCACCCAGCAATTTGCTAATATTTTTGATGCCTTGCTTATTGCTTGTTTCTATTAGAATAAAAGGGATTGTTTGTTATTCTATCTTCAGGGTCTAAAACAGAACTTGGGACTACAGTAGGTACCCTAAAATTGCTAAACAAAGGGAAAATAAAGCAGGTCACAATAATCCCCCCCATTAACTCCTCTATTTCATTTCACCCTCTTAAATTTCCCCTTCATGTGGAAAACGATTTTGCTCCCACTCCAGCCCTGTTCTTTCCTCTTTTGTTCTCCCGAGACTCACACTGCCTCCCCAGAAGAGTCGCCCACGGCCCTTCAGCTTGGAGAAGACATATACAACTTGGCCCCTGTGTATGGTCAGGAAACGGCAGTCAGGGGCTATGTAGTCCTGAAGGGCCACAGCCATGGAGATGGGGTCTAGGGAAAGAATAGAAGGGAATAACAGCACACATACCCCACAACACACACAAACACACCAACAACCCAAGCCCCCAATTCTCCCCTCCCCACTCTTACGGCTGCATTCCTCATCAGCACACAGCTTCCGGTCAGCCAGCTTGGGCATGGGGTGGCCCCCGTCACAAGGCTCTGGGAAGGCAGACAGCAAGACAATGACTCCAAGGAACACTGGGGACCAAGCCATCATGGACTATGAGCAAGAGAGTGACTAGGGGGAGAATGGAGACTCCGATTTCCTTCTGCCCTCACCCCCTCCAGAGCACAAGGAAACTTGTGTTCTCAGCTCTGTCTCCGCCCTAAACCAGTCCCAAATTTTGCCCACCTGGAGGCTGCTACCCAGCCAGAACCATTCCAAGGACAGGGTGTGGGCTGCCAGCCCAAGGAAATGCCCAGATAAGGCCCAAAGCAGCCCAGACTGCTCCAAGTGACAGCTCCCCCCTTAACAATCAGAGAGACCCAGCCCTCTACGTTGAGATATTCAATTCCATCTTCTCTTGAGTCGGCTTAGGTACCTGGGCTCCTCTACTGTCCCCTACAGGGACAGAACCAAAGACGCCTGTAGAGAAAACCATCTTGGAATTTCCTGTGCTGAGACAGAACAAGGCAGCCCATTGATTACCAGGAACAACCTCACCTCAGACTACTGAGTGAATATTGTACAAGGGGCCTTGGGCTAGGCAATGTCCCACCATGTTCACTTCCTGCTCACCAGCCATTTCCTAACTGGGTGACATGGGCTAAGCTATTTCTCTTCTCAGGCCCTTACCTCCTTTCTATGTAAAATGAGGATAAAAATAACCTCCAAAAAAAGCCATTCACCAAGTATACTTAAATTCATATGGCCAATCTGTGTCACGTCTGGAGGGGCTGTTATAACCCCATTTTACATGACAGTGGAAAGGTACAGAGTTAGGAACTCCTCTAAGGCTACACAGCCAGTAAGTGGAGGGATTGAGACTTATCTTTTCCAGGCCCACACACATCATGTGCTACCTCACTTCACAGGAATCTGGTAAGAATTAAATATATCCAGCAGATTGACAGGGCATGTAGAGTACAAGTTGCATAGGCTAGAATGACATGGCCTCAGCCTAGCTAACTGCCACCTCAAACTCCTGTGCTCATGGCTTGACACCTATAGTTCAAAGGTTAGGGCACCCACATGCACTAGAGCTGTGGGTTCGAACCCAGCCAAGGCCTGCTAAACAATGACAACAACAAAAAAACAGCTGGGCTGGGCAGCACCTGTGACTCAATGAGTAAGGCACCGGCCCCATATACCGAGGGTGGCAGGTTCAAAACTGGCCCCGGCCAAAATTGCAAAAAAAATAATAGCTGGGTGTTGTGGTGGGTGCCTGTAGTCCCAGCTACTTGGGAGGCTGAGGCAAGACAGTCACTTAAGCCCAGCATTTGAGGTTGCTGTGAGCTGTGAAGGCATACCACTCTACCGGGGTGACATAGTAAGACTCTGGCTCAGAAAAACAAAACAAAACAAAACAAAACAAAACTCCTGTGCTCAAGGGATCATCCTGCCTCAGCCTCCCAAGTAGTTGGGACTATGGGCACTGCCACAATGCCTGGCAATTTTTTTTTTTTTAATATATATACTAGAGATGGGGTCTGGCTCTTGCTCAGACTGGTCTCCTAACCCCTAAGCTCAAGAGATCCACCCACCTTGGCCTACCAGGGTACTAGGATTATAGACATGAGCCACCTCACCCTGATAGAACTTTCCCATTTTAACCTTTTAAATCACTGGTTTTCACCAGTTTGCACTAGTTTTAGCCAGTAATATCCAGTTTGACTGGTCTTGGCCAGTCATGGCTGGTTTCACCTCAATTTAACCAATTTAGACCAGTTTGGACTGATCTCAGCTGGTTATGATTGGTTTTGTCTAAATGACTGGTTTCAGTCAGTCCTGACCAATTTCAACTGGATTTGACCAGTTTACACCAGCTTGGACTGATTTAGGCCAGTTATGGCCAATTTAAACTAGTTTCAGCCATTCATGACTGGTTTTGACTGGCTTAATCTGGATTTGGACAGATTAGACCAGCTGAAACTAGGCCCTGATCCAGGCCCTTAACAGTCATCAAGGAAAGGACAGCCTTTGGTAGGGAAGACAACCAGTGAACAAAGACCAGGTATAAGAGTATGCAAAGTATCTGGATACTTAGGAGAATGCAATCAATCATCAGCCCCTCATATTATCAATGAAGCCACAAAATGGTAGAAGTAACTTCATTTCCCAAAGCCCAATGCATTTATCTATTGCTGCATAATTAATTACTCCAAAACAACAGTAGCTTAAAACCAACATTTATTATCACTGTTTCAGTGTGTCAGAAATGTGAGACGGTTTAGTTGCAAGTCTTCAGTGCTAGGTCTGGCTGCAATCAACTTGTTAGCCAGGGCTACGGTTTCATCTGAAGGATGGAGTAGGGGAGAAACCACTTCCAAACTCAGTCAGCTGTTGGAAGGATTCAGTTCCTTGTGGAAACTAGACTGAAAGCCTCTGTCCTCACTAGCTGTTTCCCTCAGTTCCTTGCCACCTGAATCTCTCCAGACAGCTCACACAGCAGTTAGTTTCCCCCAAAGCAAGTCAGCTGGAGGCAGTCTTAGTAATTTTTTTTTTTTTTTAAACAGAGCCTCACTACTGTGTTTCCCCCAAAATAAGATCTACCCAAAAAGTAAGCCCTAGCAGGGCAGGAATTCTATGTATTTGTTAAATATAAGCCCTACCCTAATAATAAGACCTAGCGTATCTGCATAGCCACGCCATGCATTTCAGCACGTACAGGAAGATATCCCCTGAAAATAAGCCCTAGTGTGTCTTCTTGAGAAAAAATAAAAATTAAGACAAGTGTCTTATTTTGGGGGAAACACAGTATGTTGCCCTCAGTAGAGTGCTGTGGTGTCACAGCTCATAGCAACCTCAAACTCTTGGGCTTAAGCGATTCTCTAGCCTCAGCCTCCCAATAGCTGGGACTATAGGCACCTGCCACAACACCCAGCTATTTGTTGTTGTTGTCATTGTTTACCAGGCCAAGGCTGGGTTCAAACCCACCAGCCTGGGTGTATGTGGCCGGCACCGTAACCAGTGTGCTACAGGCACTAAGCCTGTAATTTTTTTTGAGACAGTGTCTCTCTTTGTCACCCTTGGTAGAGTGTCGTGGTATCACAGCTCACAGCAACCTCAAAACCTAGAGCTCAAGTGATTTTTTTTTTTTTTGGCAGTTTTTGGCCATGGCTGGGTTTGAACCCACCACCT